GGTGAAATAGAATTTAGAAAGGTGTACCGTGTATGACACTGGTGTGGCAGATGTGCCTCGAAGAGAGGTTCACATATGTTTTTACTTTTTGTTGTTTGAGGCTTTGAGCTTGTTTGCTTTTCTTTTTTCCTGCTGATGTTTTTCGGGACAGCCCTGGGGAAAAAAAACGCGCAGTGCTGCGATTGCACAGCAGAGTTGTTTTCTGTGGATCGTTAGGAAAGGCTCTGTGCATCCACCCTCCACAAGAACGTGGACTTTGTAAAAATAAAAAGGAAAAAAAAGAAAAGAAAAGAAAAGAAAAAATTTAAATAAAGAAAAGAGGGCAGGCTCTGTGTATAGAATAGTGTATCGATTAGATCAGCCGCTCATCAGCCTAACACCAATCGAAAGATCATTCATGGAGTTGGACTGTGGTCTGGGTTAGGCTTGGCCGGGGGCTAGGTCCCACTTGCACGAATTAAGAGATACTGACCGTAGATAGCAAAGATCAACGGCCCAAATCTCCTAAATTTTGTGCAAGTGGGACCTTGCCCCGGTGTGCCTTGCCCATACCACCGACTGCAGTGAAATGATGTGAGGGGGAAAAAAAAAGAAAAAAAAAAAGGAGAGAGTAACCAGTACTAACCACCCCTATGGTACACGGAACAGCCTTTTTTTTTGTCTTTATGGTTTTTGTTTTTTGCAAAAAAATAATAATAATAAAAAAAATAAAAAAGATATGTCCTTTTTGATGAAGGGCCTAGCGCCCAAGGCAAACAAATACCGTGTCCACAAGTTTCAAATTCAGGGGGGGCGGAAAAAAGAAAAAAGAAAAAAAAAAGATCAGGGGCAGTCAGCAAGCGGAGCTCGCCCCCTGTGAAAAAGAGCATTTCAGAAATTTAAAATGATAAAAAAAAGGCAAAAAACTTGAAAAAAGTTAAAAACAGTGATTTTTTTTTATTTTTTTATTTTTTTTATTCGCAGCTCAACTTTCATTTCATAAACAGCAAACAGTGATGTTTTTTCGGTCTCTTGCCCGTCCGTTCTTCTTTTTTTTTTTTTCTTCAGTAATCCGTCCGTTCTTCGAAATGAGGGGGTGATCCCCTCCCTTCTCCCTCCCCCCCTGAAAACAGGAAAAGGAAGTATATGTGGGCCTACACAGAAATAAACAAATATATTGTATTTAATTTGTATTTAGCCAGTCACATTGGTGGGGGGGGGGGGGGGGGGGGGGGGG